AGTACATAATATATAAATATGTATATATTATAAATAGTGAATTGAAATGGTAAATTGAAAAAATATCTTCTTTTAAAGCGATAAAAAAAGATTTGTATAATCCAGAATCTCCAGCAAAGATTAACTAATGAATGGACTCTGTTCTGGATACTTTATGGAACAATTCAACTATCTTGTGACATGAAGCAATCATTCAGTGTGAAATAATATAATTCTAGCTGTAAAAACTCATGGTACAAACGTGACATTAAATTATATGTTCCTTTGATTGTTTATTGTTACTTTTATTATTTTCAAAAGTAACTGAAAGAATAAATACGCGTAACTGATTCCAAAAAATTAATTCACGAAAAAAAATCGAGGCTTAGACCGTCAATATTATAATGGAGAAATTTATTTAAAAATTTGCTAGTTTTCAGGTAATTTCAAATTTAATAGAACAACATACAATAAAATGCCCTGCGATTAGAAGATGTCCGACTATTCACTCATCTTCGCAACAAAAATAAGAAATGACCTTGAATTCATCGAAATTTTGATGCTTTATTTCTGATTTTTTTTTCCTAAAAATTAGCAAAAAAATTCGTTCTTAGTGTAGAACCTTTTCTCTGATAAAAAAATCTACTGAGAAAAAATACTCAAAAACAAAATTTGAACATTAGGTATTTCCGCCCCTCAATAACAGCTCTTCTCCCCCAATTTTCGGCAGTCCAAAACGATCACAATTGCTCAATAATCGATGCGATAAAATAACATTTCCCTCTTCTCCCGTTTCACTTCCATAATCGTCGCATGAGCAAAAAAGTAATTTCTCCCCATCGTCCAGTGGACAAAGGGTGATTTTGCTCAGAGAATGAGAGGGCCCGATTGAGGGAGAAGGACAACCAGCGCTTGACCGATTCTCGATGGTCCACGAGTGGAAGGGAAGGGGGTATTGGTATAGCAAGCGACCGGTGCACATGTCGTTATGCTATGCTACCATACTATGGGTTTTCCCTCTTTTCATCCCCAATTCTCTTCCGTGTGTGTGTTCATGCGATTTGCACACGTGAGAAGGAGTATTACGGTGGAAAACCGCCACGTGTAGTCGTGGGGTGCGTTTGGCTGAACAAAGAGGGAGACGAGGGAGATGGAGTCAGAGGGCTCCACTGCGATATGCATATGAGAGGACTGAACTAGTACTCATTCGCACTCTGGCTTTTTTCCTTCCGTGGTATGTAGGGCTCTGGGACATTTTTTTACGTTTATTTTTTCACTCTCTACTACGTCCCGCAACGTTATCGCTCTCGTGTTCTACCCCATGTAGGTTGACCTCAACGATTTTCTGTTTACTCACTTTTTTTTTCGCCAAACCCAAAAGCCATTAATCTCCTTTCATTGATATCCTAATAAATTTTTCGGTGGTAAAAACTATTGTAAAACAGTCTTTCTTCAAACGAAAATGAATCACAAACTCGGATAGATTTCATCCCAGTCTTTCAACTTCGAGTCGAGTATGCAGAATACTTGAGTCAAGTCGCGATCTACTTGAGTCACGAAATTTTTTTCGGGATAGGAAAAAATTTTTGAAGCAACTTGAGGGAATTGACTCGATAGGAGGAAAACTCAATCACGTCGAAAATTGATTTACTTCATATTGTAGACGACTTGAGTGACTCAATTTAATTGGATTCTCAGACTTCATTCATGTCGGATTCTGATTAATCCAAGGAATTTTTCGACTTGACTCGATTCAATTTGAATTGGATCAAGTCGCTATTTATTACACCTGAAGAGAGTCAATTTTTCGTCGAAAGTAAATCCGTTGGTAGAACGTACTTCGAGTATAGATTCTGCAACTTGATCCAAGTCCGATACGAGTTGATTCAAGCAGATCCTTCGATTCAATTCAATTCGACTTGAATTAAATCACTATCGAACAATCGGAATCAAAGCGTTTCATATTTTAACTAACATCTTTCCGAATTTTTTTATACATCCATCTGAAGAGAAATTTTTCTCGGTCCAAGTAAATCGCGACTTGATTCAAGTATTTTTTGTACTCGATTCAAGGAGGAAGACTAGGATCCAATCTATCCGAGTTTACGCCTCATTTTACGCATAAAAAAATGGTTTCTATCTTAAACTAGTTTTAATTGAAAACTAGTGTCAATCCTGAATCAACTTGATTCAAGTAGGAAAGATACTTGATTCAAGTCGACTCTACTTGAATCAAGTTGTCAACTCGATTCGCCATTTTTTTGAGATACTCGATCAAAGTCGATGAAATCTACTTCAAACGAGTACATCCTCGACTTGATTCACTGTACTTGCATCAAGTAGAGGCTCCGGATTGAATCAAGAAGTTTACTTGTAGTGTTAAACTTTTTTGACAAATAGTCCTTGATCAGGAAGAGGTTTCCGTCATTTTCACCAAGATCTTTCAGCATATTTCTGTTTCTCTTATCGATAATTCCCTAATCATAATGAATCGGAAGAGCTAACCGGTTAGAGTTAAACGATCTGTATCCAACATTCAGTGGACGATTCAAATGGTTGAGAGGAAGCTAAAGGTACCCAAAGTCCCATATCCATTCGACATTCGACCATTCGCTACACGCTATTCTCCATACTCTATTATCCGCATTCTACTTCACTGTTCTCTATGTTGAACCCAGCCATAGTATACTCTATTGTGCCGGTGTACCGCGTATCAACGGTCACACTAACCTAACCTTAATACTCATGTGGTTTTGTGTAGAGGTATAGAGAGGGGGAAGTGGCTGTCTCCTCAATTGTCTAGTCTGGCAGCGTCTGTCTTTTGTATCGATCGCAGTAGATGAATCCGCCAGTTCGTCATCTTACTTCCAAGCCAAAAGACCGATGTAACGTCAGACTCCAAAATTTTCTCTGATTAATTCAGTAGCGAATTGGTAAAAGTCAATTTTGACTATTGACCAGTTTTCAATGAATATCTCGGAATCTAAGGGAGATAGCAAAATTTTGTTATAACCTTTTTTGTAGAGCCGATTGAGAGCTACACCAAATGTAATTATGAAAATTTCGCTATCTCCCTTAGATTCGGAAATATTCCTCAAAAACTCAAGTCGACTTGAACTGTTTTACCACTTCGCTACTGAAATGTAACTTGGGAGGTTTTCGTCCTACCTTAATCAAGTCACCTTTCGAGTTGAAAGCTAAAGCTGACTCACATGGAGTTCGCTCATTTAGGATGTTTAGCTGAGCATTGATAAGAGTTTTTTCTCAATAACCGAACACCAGTTAAAATAAGATTGATATAATCAACTGAGAATAATAATTGAATGTAAAATCAAACTGATAATGGGTGCGGCAGCGCGTGCGGTGCTAAGATTTTTGGCGAGAAGTGGGCATCCGTTCAAGTCCAACTCCTCCCGTACTTCGTCTTACCGAGGGGCCTCAGAGACGGTTCAGCCTCTAAAATGTTTAGATGAGCGTTCTCTTGTCATTGACAATGTTTTTTTTTTTTTTTTTTTTTTTTTTTTTTTTTTTTTTTTTTTTTTTTTTTTTTTTTTTTTTTTTTTTTTTTTTTTTTTTTTTTTTTTTTTTTTTTTTTTTTTTTTTTTTTTTTTTTTTTTTTTTTTTTTTTTTTTTTTTTTTTTTTTTTTTTTTTTTTTTTTTTTTTTTTTTTTTTTTTTTTTTTTTTTTTTTTTTTTTTTTTTTTTTTTTTTTTTTTTTTTTTTTTTTTTTTTTTTTTTTTTTTTTTTTTTTTTTTTTTTTTTTTTTTTTTTTTTTTTTTTTTTTTTTTTTTTTTTTTTTTTTTTTTTTTTTTTTTTTTTTTTTTTTTTTTTTTTTTTTTTTTTTTTTTTTTTTTTTTTTTTTTTTTTTTTTTTTTTTTTTTTTTTTTTTTTTTTTTTTTTTTTTTTTTTTTTTTTTTTTTTTTTTTTTTTTTTTTTTTTTTTTTTTTTTTTTTTTTTTTTTTTTTTTTTTTTTTTTTTTTTTTTTTTTTTTTTTTTTTTTTTTTTTTTTTTTTTTTTTTTTTTTTTTTTTTTTTTTTTTTTTTTTTTTTTTTTTTTTTTTTTTTTTTTTTTTTTTTTTTTTTTTTTTTTTTTTTTTTTTTTTTTTTTTTTTTTTTTTTTTTTTTTTTTTTTTTTTTTTTTTTTTTTTTTTTTTTTTTTTTTTTTTTTTTTTTTTTTTTTTTTTTTTTTTTTTTTTTTTTTTTTTTTTTTTTTTTTTTTTTTTTTTTTTTTTTTTTTTTTTTTTTTTTTTTTTTTTTTTTTTTTTTTTTTTTTTTTTTTTTTTTTTTTTTTTTTTTTTTTTTTTTTTTTTTTTTTTTTTTTTTTTTTTTTTTTTTTTTTTTTTTATAGTAATGATGCTCGGTGCTTAAAAGAGTCTTTGAGCTGAAAATATTAAAATAATATTTCATCCAACGTCTGCCAGACACCACACGTCACCGAAAAAAATGGAATCATCTCGAGTCATCCATTTAATGCATAAATTCACCTCGGAAAAACAGGAGAAGTTTATGTCTGCAGATTGCAAAAGTTTCCTTTGTGAACAGCTTCCACTTGAACTCGAAACATTGAGATTTATAGCGAATGTCTTCTCAAAAACTGCACCATTGAAAGCACACGAGTAAGAGTAGTAGTGGCACACGCGTTTAATTAAATTTTCTGTTGAAATTTGCATACACCTCTGGTCTGAATCCTTCCTATGAAGGCCCCCACAGATTGTTTTCCCCCCTAGTGAACGCCAGTACTTGGAGAATCCTTTGTCGAGATTCACGCCCGTTATTTCGTGTTACATCCAAGGAGGATAGAATGGTTGAAACATGTCCGAGAGCGTGGCACCAAGGGAAAGATGTGTACTGTTGGAAGAATGGACGCGCTCATCTAATTAAGTAAATTCGTTGTGCATCCAAGGGGACATGTATAATTGAGAGGAGAATCATGGGGAGACGAGTGAAAACCACAGTTTTTTCAAATACAGTTTTTTATTCGACTCGATCAAAAACTACGACAACAATAGTCGGTAGATATGTATATGCGAAATTATTCATTCAATCGTCAGTGTAATTGTTTGGTAATTTTTTCAAGACATCCACTTCGGTAGAATTCAGAAGCTAGTTGTCATGCTTTTATATGCTTTACACGAAATTGGTAATTATGGCTATGAAATTAATGAACAAAACTATCAATAAGACAATGATCAAATATTGCACGTGACCCGAATATTCAACAACACAAATATACTATGAAAACGTAAAATGAAACATTCTGCTTTTGTCTGTTTTTTGGTATCTGCTTCCCCGGATATTCTATATTTACAATCTTTTTTTTTTATTTACATACTTCAGTCTCACTCTCATGATTAAATCTCACTGTTCATGCCTTCCTTCGTCTCATCAGTAAATACTCAGAGTTTATTGTTCAATAGTGATTTCGTTGACGACCGGGGGGCACAACCAATTAAATCAATGGTACCACTAAGATCGCCTCTGAACTTTTAAAGCGCTGAAATTCATCTCACGCCCTACGTATTACAAGGTTTAATGCCCAAGTGTTGTTTTTCATCGACTTTGTTACCTCAAAGTTTATGAAATTTACATTGATGAGAGTCAATGAATGCTCCCAAATTAAATAACACCGTAATTTCACAAGCACCAATGTTCACACTATTTTACCAATTTTCAGTACGGTCTCCATACATTATTATCCGGTCTAACTTCCTCTTGTCTAACACTGCAACTCTCAGCGACGGCCGTTTGCTCGGGACTCTCAGAATTCTGAAACTGATTACCGTAGATCTGAGAGTAGAGGATACTTGGTAGAACACCCGGTGTTGGAAAGTAATTGTAGTTTTGACCAAAACCCTCCTCATGAACTGGACTGTCAGTTGTGTTGGAATCGGTTGACAGAGATCTTGGTGATACGTACTCTTGGTATCTTTGACTCGCTGTGCCGGACATTAGTGAAGACAGTGGATCAAGGGGATCAGTTTGGCCAGGAGTTGTAGTGTCTGGAACCACTGAAAATCATTGTCGTCAAGAACCATGAAAACTGTGTAATTTCGCTGATGATCGACGAAGTAATGATAGCTTACACGATGAGACTGCTGAAAAAGCATCTTGTTGCGGTGCTCGACTGCTGTTGGCAGACGCCACAGTAGTTCCTGCCGTGGAATCTGGCGCTGTCGGCGTATTCATTCCCGTCGAACTGGCGAAAGACGCCAAGGTAGACGTTGGCGGTGGTGGTGGAGGCGGTGGCGGTGGCGGTGGTGGAAATGGCGCTTGAGCAGCGCACGATGATAATGGACCGGGCAAGTAGCCAGCGTAGCCCGCTGTACTGCCGTAACCCCAGGAGTTGCCAGCTGTCAATCCAAACTGAGACATGTCTAGACATACAGAGAAATCATAATATTGAATGTGTCATTGACATACGACAAGTGGACAGGTACTCAAAGCTCTTTGTGATCTTGATGAGTGTCTATCATCTGCGCTTCTGCTTTTTGGTCTTCATATTGACAACCTATTTTTGCGGGTAGCCCCAGGCCGGGAATGGATTTTCCAGCGCGTAAAAGGAAGGTCACAAGGCTGGCGGCTGGGGGCAGGGGGAGGAGGGGGGCACTGACTGGACATTTTGGAGGGTGAGGGAAGAAGGGAATGAAAACGACGGGGGTGTTTGGGGGGCAGGGGTTTTAACGGAGTAGGGGAGTTACGAGATCAAAGGGTTGGATGTCCCCGCGCGTCGGCATTGCTACGGCCAACTCAAATAACCAGAGCTCGCCTCGATGAACGCTACTGGCCCGTCCCGGCTAGTCTAACCCTAAATACTGTAACCCAGGCTACTGCTTCGCTATTCACTCTATCTGCAATACATTAATTTCGTATAATTATTCTGTTCGCTACAGAATGTGTCCAGCATTATTGCGAGAATTGGCTTGTCCCTGATGACTTCGGCAATAGGGAGCTTGCATGGAGCTTCTTTCTCTATTCACACATTCCTCGTGACATGTGGATAGCTGAACGGCGGAAATCGTGGAGAAATATTGCCTAGATGTCTTGTGATAATTTATGGAACATCAGGCGTTTTCGAGGCCAATTTTTCGGGCATGACGTCACGAAGACGGTCGGGTAACGCTTTATTGGGCGAAAAAGAAGGGAGTGGGGAGTTGTTGTCCTCCATTGGCCGAGGCGCAACTCAAGATTGGGTTAGGACGGCTCGGGCTATTCTGTCATTGGTCCAGCGCTCGACCGTTTGTGTGACGTCAATTCATTAATTAATTATTATTTAATGAGCAATATTTCAAACGTTTGTGAATGGAAAATGAATTATTCAGGTGCCAAACTTGAGATTAGAAAATTGAAAAAAATTCATGCCAGTTCCCTGTTCTACGACATCAGAACTTTTTATTGTTTTAGAAAAATTTTCAATATTATTCAGTGATGAGGAGAGTTTATCGGGATGGGGATAAATTAAAAGGGAACACTCCGGCGGTTGTAATTCCAATAGATCAGTCGAGAGATTGAGGAGCAACGGAAAAGTCCAACGTCTGACGGACGTAATGAAAAAATCAAATAAATAAACAATGAAAAAATAGATAGTTCCGTGCTGGAACACGGACGAGAGGGAAAAATTATATTAATAAGTGGAATATTCCTGCACACGTTGCGCACACCGTTCACTCTTTCTATCGGAGAATTTTTTCGTACAGAGGAAGAGGAATTATGTATGTGCAGGGCGAGGCATCGGGAGCCATCTCAGGAAATTCATTAAACGATGGCGCGCGGTGGTGGGGAAACGAGCGTGTTTATGTATGGCTCAACTCTGGAATTTTTTTCATTGCAAGCTCATGCTTTTTTTTTACTCAACTCTTTTTTTATTCTGCAGTTGTTTCTGTATTTTTATTTATTTTTATTGTAGGTCTGAGAGCCGAACCCACAGAAATTCGCGTGCGAATTTGGTAGCGCGTGAGAGACTCCAAAGAGGGAAAGAGAGATGCAGAGTAAAGGGGGGAGGGGTAGTCTGGCAAGCCCTTTAATATAATATTTAATCTAGCTTTGAACAGGCTTGCGGTTACAACCAGGGCCAAAAGCCTCTGGGTTGCTCAGCTGAGTTGCTCAGGATTTATACGACAAAAAGAGGAAGATCGAAATACAACGCAAGTTTGATGATTAATGCAATATCATTTGTATCCGTTTAATATCAGGTCGTGGAATAAAAATCTATATCAATTTTATGATTCAGTATCGATAGACAATTTGCTTTCTGATGAGAGGCTTTCTCTACGCGGAAGAAACTAAGCACTTCCTAAATCCCACACGGAGAGAAAAATTCAATAAATTTACAATAAAATTAAAATTAAATTGAATTTTATAAAAAAACGTAAAAATTACGTTTCGAAATGTAATCCGCGAGCGAAGAAAAATTCAATGAAAAGTGTGAGCCGGAACTAAAATTGTACGAATCGCCACGTAAATTCTACGATTTGTTCCGTAAAAATTAACCACCCGTCTGATGACTCACCGCTGTGGGGACAAGTCATTCCGTAATTTTTCCTCAACGATTGAGAAATTTTACGGAATGGAACGTAGAAATAACTCACCAGCTTCATAAAAATTGTTGAACGTTCAAGAATTTTTGGTTTTCGAGGCACAATAAGTCGGCAAGTTTCTGTAAGATTTTACTTCTTCGGGAAAAATTACCTGATAATTTCGTACTTCATTCGGTGATGAACCTGAGAATTCACTGAACGTTTCGGATTTCTTCTCTTCCATTCCTATAAAAATTGCCGAAAAACGATTCCTCATTGCGGATTACGTGAATTGTTCCGTAATTTCTACTGAATATTTCTCTTCGTGCACTTGATACGAGTAGGATTGAATCAAGTCGAGAATTGAGTCATTTTATGAAAATATATAGTGTTATTGTTCGTCGTAAATTCAGTGAATGAAGGAGTGATTGGCTTTGCGGTCATTAAATAAAACATCAAATAATTATAGTTGATGTGAAATTTTGTCGACGTCTGGACGAATCAAGCATCACTTCGACTTGACATTTTTCTTTCTCAAATAAGTCCCTTTTTCTCTCACAACCAGCCCAATATCCGGATTGATTGAAACACTACTTGAATCTATTAAAATAATAATCAAGTCGAGAACTACTTGACTCATTACTTTTGGGTGAAAGTATCACAATTGATCAGTCTCTATTCTCATAATTTGAAGCATTACGTAAGATGTTTTGGTCTACTCACTCTGACAGTTTCCTGGCATCGCGTGTCTGAATGACGACAGTGGATCCCTCGGTTGTAGTGGATTCGGCAGTGGTTGGAGTGGATTCGGTAGTGGTTGAAGTGAATCGACCAGAGGTGATGCAAAGAACGGTGTACCCCGCTGTGACGCAAAAGCGAATGCGTGGAACTGTTGCTGATGCCCTAGAAATGATAGCACTGCCATCAACCGTGCGCCTGTTCGCTGGACCCACTCAAGTCGGTTCCAAATACACTCGCATAATCACATACAACGCCCACACATCAACGTTTGTTTCTAAAAATTTCTGACTAGCTGAGTTTTCGAAAAATATCTTCAAATCTGAGGAAGACAGCGAGATTTTTGTAACAAACTTGTTTGCACAGATAGACTGATTCATTTATTCCAAACGAGATTCGTTAACTATTAACGAACGGTAGTGTTGAATGTGACCAAATGAATATTCGTTAATAGTTAACGAATAGTTCACTTGAAAAGTGAAAATCAAGTCGAGCAAGGCTCCTCAAATGTGCATTTGGTAACTATTAAAGAATGAACATTTTGTGAGACCGAATCGACCCTCGTCTCCAACGAAATGCATTCGTTAACAATAACTATTGTACCAAAAATTTTGCTGTCTGCCGTAGATTTCAAGATGTTCATTGAACACCGACGAATACACTGCGAAATCTAATGTCTGAATTTCAGACACTTTTCAAACACTTTTGGGACGATTTTGTAGACACTGTTGAGATATTAAAATGTGTCTGAATCAATGGAGGTATTTCAATTTCAGACAACATGATGTCTGAAATTAAGATACAGACATCAGTTTCAGACACAAGCGGTGTTTGAAATTTTCAGACAGTTAGATTTTCAGACACTTTTAAAGATTCAGACGTTTTTTGCCATCTGCCATCTTAAATTCAGATGGTTGTCAGACACCTAGTTTTTGCAGTGCGATGAGTCAACTTTTCAGACATGAGAAATATCCTAAAAATTAATGTTTGAATGGACTTTGTCGTCTGAATCAGGTGAGATATCTTAATAGTGAAATGTTTGAATCGCTCATAAATAACTGAACTTCAGACACAGAAAATATCTGAAAATAAATACCTGAAATGTGTCAGACAAAAAATGTCTGCCATTATTTTCAGACAGAAACGGTGGTTGAAATTTTCAGACAGATTTTCAGACACTTTCGAAAATTCAGACGTCTGTTACCATCTGACATCTTAAATTCAGATAACTGTCAGACACCTGGTTTTTGCAGTGCGATGAGTCAACTTTTCAGACATGAGAAATATCTTAAAAATTAATGTTTGAATGGACTTTGTCGTCTGAATCAGGTGAGATATCTTAATAGTGAAATGTTTGAATCGCTCATAAATAACTGAACTTCAGACACAGAAAATATCTGAAAATAAATACCTGAAATGTGTCAGACAAAAAATGTCTGCCATTATTTTCAGACAGAAACGGTGGTTGAAATTTGCAGACAGATTTTCAGACACTTTCGAAAATTCAGACGTCTGTTACCATCTGACATCTTAAATTCAGATAGCTGTCAGACACCTGGTTTTTGTAGTGTAGTCAAAATCGACTTGAACCGTTGTAGCGCTTCGCTCCCGAATTCAATTGTAATCCAGCTGTACCCTCGGAATCTTCGGAGCAGGACACAATTTTAATTGACACTCGGTAGAGTACCCCTCAGGGGAGAGTTAGAAAACCATTGAGCGACCGGAGATCGCCGATACATTTTATTTCCCTGCTTCGTTTGCCCCCGATGTCGGCAACCCAATTAAAGATGTCCCAGCAGGCGCCCAGTGAGAGTCAGAGGTACACTAGTGTCCACTGAGTCTACTCTACACTCGTGTCGATTTTGTCCCAAAGTGAGACAGAGACAATACGATGGCCGGAGTCAACCCATACCTCTACCGAATTTCGCTTGATTCTGACGCGACTAGTAGCGAGAACTGTTGAAGGCACTGGAGACCGGTTTTGAAACCCCACCGCCCTGGGTATAGCACCAACTCGACGAGGGAGAAATTTCAACTAGTGTGAGGAGCACACTGGAGGAGTTGGGGGGCGGGAGGGAGTGGAGGAACCACTAGGACCATCCGACGTCCTCGATAATCCAATCGAAGCCCTAATTCTAACTGCCCTCCCCCAAAATTCCCGCTAGTTTGCTGAATAGGTACGCTTCAACGGAGAGACACACAATGGCCCGACGTACGGAATACTGGCGCGAGAAACGTCGGCTGATGGCTAACGAGATACAGTTTAACGACGGGGAGGATTGAGGTGGAGAACCTCCGTTGATCCGGAAGTAGATGTGTTTGAGACCAGGGATGGCCAATAATATTGGATTTTGACAATATGAAGAAAGATTATCTCCTCATATTGTTCAAAGTTTAACTGTATTTAACAAATTTAAAATATTGTAAAATTTAATGAGGAAATTTGGCAATTGATGGTGAATAAAATATTTGATAATATTGAAATGTAATTTTTAGTTAAGCTAATTCTTAATTTAGGTACTTGATTTTTCGATTATCCAAATAATCGGCAATCTTTTTACCTAAATTATTGGTTATCATAGAATATTGTATATTATAATATTATATATTATTATAATACAATATCTAATTATATATATATAAAAACAAAAAAATTATATATTTTTCGTTAGCAATTATATATATATATTATTATTATAATATTAATATCAATTTATTTTATTTAATTTCATTTAATTTCGAACACTAAATGAAGAGGAATTATATTAAAGATCAATCAAAAATGGGTTTTTATGATCTGACTTTAACGAGAAGAAATGAAAAAACACAAAAAAACGTGGGCGGGAAGAACTTGAAAAAAAACATTTTTCAATGTCTCCGGAAAGTTTTAAAATCGATATATTTATTCGAATAATGGAGGAATACCCATCAATTGGATTTCCATCCTCGTCTTTTGATAGAATGAATAGAATAAATGACGGAAATTGAGAATCGGAGATTAAAAATTTTATCGGATTATTGTTATATAACAATAATACTAATAATTCAGTAGTGAAGCGGTAAACCGAGTTAAGTCGATTTTGACTATTAGCTAGTTTTTGCTGAATATCTCGGAATCTAAGAGAGATAGCAAAATTTTTCTCATGACTTTTTTTATAACGCTCTTCTAGATTCCGAGCTATTCGTCAAAAACTAGCCAATAGTAAAAATCGACTTAACCCGGTTTACCGCTTCGCTACTGAATTATATATTATAATATTATGTAATAGAATATAGTTATAATAGAATATTTCAAAATTTGATGTTAAAAATTGACAACTTCACAATTAAACGGTAATAATGATTAATGAATATGCCTATCCCTGTTTGAGATGCATCAATGCATGATATCCTTCATCCTACGAGTGACATATGGATCCAAATATTAGCACGGTTTCAGTTCACCCCACTGCCGAAACATCGATCCACGTGATTGTGATTTGTAAGAGGCTTGTGGGAGCTTCTCCAAGATTTCTCAACTCACAAAGCCCCGTTGTTGCGACTCTAAAAGCTAACTTCATAAGTTGTCTATCGATTTTATCGAGGACCCCTTAACAACCCGGCGCGAAGATACCCCAGGGAATTAGACCAGCTGTCAACGACAGATTCCTCATTTTCTCGGACAGGGTCGCGTGTTGGTGTTGGATAACTTGTTGTTCCTCCGTCCTTGTCAATAGTCCCATATATCTTATCCCAAATTTCTCATCCAGCTGTAGCTGCATAGAAAGCACTTCTCCAAAGAACTGTTCTTAATCGGATCCGCAAGTGTACAGGGTACATGGGTTTTCGAAGGGGGTTGAAATGCTTCTCAATCAATTTCCTCGGACTGCGCGGGCTGGCGGTTGCTTTCCCCGGTGCAAGGAGCGAGACTGATTCTACAGGATAGAGAAAGAACGACGAAGGGGAAATGGCCACTAGGACCGAGGGTTGAATGTGTAATGAATTGCTTGTTTAATTAATTACAACCCTTTCGCGCTCTGGTGAGGGGTTGGCCTTCGGAGGCACAGTCCTCGGGCCAAGACTCATTTATCCTCGTGTCAAACCGCGTCCACGTAAGCACCACCCGCAAGAGTCTCCGGAGAGGTTTACAGGACTTCCTTGTCAAATGGAAACAGTATTATTCCTGGGGAGCGAACAGATCTTCGAGGCTCCATTTCGATGGATTCCAGCGGGACCCAATCTGACAAATTCAGATCGTCAATAACGATGAGGAGGCTGAGAAGGGGGACCACCCGGAGCAACTTATTGTATACAGCTACTACAGCTTTCTGTTTATGATGAAGGCCTGCAACATCGCCACCATCAAAGGAACTATTTTGAGGTTGAATAGGTCTTGTCTTAAATGCCTGAGACAATTCGAAGTCAAGACAGCGTTCGTCACTTTGTTGGTGATGTTCTCCTAGATCGTGGGTGGTCGGCAGTCACCACCAACTGATGTTCAACGGCGGATATTCATCGCGAGAGAAGAATATAGAACACGCGTAGCATATTAAACTATTTTTAGACGCATCTCTCAGCATATCCCGATGAGTCTAGTCTACTCAGGATACATCATCGCTTCTAAAGGCTTTCATGTTCAATCATGGGTTCATGATTCCATATATAGACTTTATTGCAGGTTCCACATAATACATGAGCGAAGAGGCCTTCGAAGTACTGGTGATAATTCAAGGGTACTAAGTTTCGTACAAACTAGACAGCGCGTTAACCCCCCCTCTAAGGTCTTGCACAGTGGCAACTACCGACGACAACCGCTAGGCGAGAATAACCAACTCCTTGGGGGTAATTGTATGTCCCAAAAGGTCCATGAGACATACGAGACTGGAGGAATAGAGTGTGGGCGGTAAAGGCTGGCTAAGTTTGGTAAGGCGGTCGCTAACAACGTGCCATATCCAAGGTGGGTGCTCGTGCACCCGCAATCCTTTATCAGCGTTATGCTCTCAACTACCACCTTTCAACGACCTACCGTACTGAAGTTATAAATAAGGGCAATTCAGCGCACAGAAACTTGGACAGTTTGGGAAGGTGGGTGTACCACATGAGATCTTTCAAAAGTTTAACATTGTCATTACAGAATTCAGGAACTTTGGATATTCAATATCTAAATGACGATGATGGAGGTTTTTCGCGAATTGTCTGCGCACAACTTTATCTGTATTCAATTATTTCCGACGCGATTTGTGAGACTTTCGAGGGATTCGACTTGGTATTAGCAGGACTGAATCGACTTATCGTGAATTTTAAAATTTTCCCTGAATTTTCCAGATTTTTCAGAATTTTTCCGAAATAACTGAACTTAAAAATCGAGCATTTCATTGATTTTCAGATCATTCGAACAGATACTCAAGGGAATATTTGATTTTTCAATGACAAGATATCCTGAAATTTCAGTGGAAATTAAACACGACCAAAATTTCCGGGATTTGACACGGAAAACTCAGACCAAAATTTCTAACACTGCAGTCACACTCCTCGAAATAGTTATGATAATGTACCCTCTCAATAACTTCACCCCACTAACTTACAAATAAACGTTGACAAGTAGTAATGATAATAATGCTTACAGTGATACTCACTGGTCTTGGATCTCGGCTCCCGTGGCCCATCCACAGTAACTTTGATGGCCTTAGTATACGTTGCCACTTGAGGGGGAGACGTCGAAACGGTTATCGTCAGTGTGAAGCTCTTTCCTGTTGACAAAAGCCCACGATGAATAACAAACACATCATAATTGAATTACCGATTGTTTTTTTTTCACATATTAAACGAGGTTTAAAATTGAAAATAGAACCAGTACTTCCATTAAACCTTTTCTGGGTAAATATGCATTGTTGGGGGAAGTTTACAAACCATGTTATCTGCTCAAACTCCCAGATAACTGAATTAAGTTGCAGTAATGTATCGAGTGGACACAGCATACACCTATGGAAACACGTATGGTTGTGATGCTTGAATATGGGTGGACAGAAACGAAATATTTATGCAAAAAAAAACTCTTCGTTCGCTTAACTCCTGGGTCAATGGATTGACGAACCAATGAGAGGGGGAAAGGGGAATTCTAGTGAATCAGGGTGTAGAATGAAGCGATACCAAAATACACGCCATGGAGGGGAACCGCAATTTTGTCCGTTCTCCACTTAAAAAAAAAAACGCGTCCGCATTCACTGTTTTTTCCTCACGCTACTGCAATCAACGAGCGTGAAAACGAAACAATTTTTCTGGTCGAGGAGGAGGGGGGGGGGGATATCTGTTAACCTGAACGAATTAAATCATTTGTATTGAAGACTGCAGACAGACGTCTTTCATTAGTGAAACAAAAAAGATTATTCCAAAAATCAGAATATGGCGTGAGCCCGAGGGGCCACTCTGTGATGAAACCAATCTGAAATCACGCTGAAGTCTTGAAATCATTGCAAAGTCATTTGAAATCAGTAGCGAAGTGGTAAAAGGAGATAAGTCAATTTTGACTATTGACCAGTTTTCAATCAATATCTCGGAATCTAAGAGAGATAGCGAAATTTTCGTGAGTACATTTGTTATAGCACTCAATCGGCTCCACAAAAAAGTTTATAACAAAAATTTGGCCTTCTCCCATAGATTCCGAGATATTGATTGAAAACTGGTCAATCGTCAAAATTGACTTATCTCCTTTTACCACTCCGCTACTGAAATCTACAAAATCAATCGAAACTCATGTCCGTGATAATTAAAAAATATCAGTGTTCGAAAAAATCGGTAACTCGAAGCTCCATGAGAGCATTTTGATGAGGTTAAAAAATATTTCACTTCCTCTCATTTATTGAACTTTATTGAATTGTGATGTCAATGACTTCTTCGCCCCTGAAATCACTGATTTTTAATTTATGAAATCATTCAAAGTCAATTGGAATCATGAAATCATGTCGCGATCCACTTAAAGTCATCGATTTCATTTCTTCCCGAAATCACTGAAATCAACCCCGAAATCACGTGGAGTCGACTTCATTTCGAAGTCATAGTATCGCTCAATCAGGGAGTGAGTAGCCCCTCGCATGAACAAATTTCTTTCTCCCTCGAAGTCAAAAATTAATTTCAAAAGCTTGAATGCATTGTGGGGGTGGCCCGTGCATCTGCCATGTAATACGATTATAACTCGGAAATGGCTCGAACTGAAAGTTTCAACTTTTGCTCACATGTTGCAACTATCACTGATTATATTTTACCCATGCAGAATTCAAACCACGCAATAGCTATGTCAGAGCGGACTAAACTGTTTCTGAAAGTTCCCAAAAAATGCAAATTTAGTGCTTCCAAAGTATTCATTTGTTGGAAAAATTCTCCAATTTATCCCCGAAATTTTCACATTTCATTTTTGCCTTTGCAAATGAACTCATTCCGCCTCCATAGAACCCTCTGACTCCATAAAACCCAGTTTCAATCCACAATTCCAGCCTTCGAGTCGAGCAGCGAAATCGCCGCATGTCAGGCACCCCGGGAAAGGAAGTTACAACAGAGAAAAAAAATTAGAAAGAAATTAACAGACCAGCTGGAGAGAAACGAAAGGCAAACGAGTGTGGGTTGAGCGAGAACCAATCGTATACAGTAGGTGTTTAAAAACGTCTAGTCTGGAAAGGGCAGTGTAAAACATTAGAGGGGGTAGGCTTCTAATGGTTTTAGTGACTGGCACCGAGGGTGATACCCCCTGACATGTTGCGTACCTTGTATTCCCACCCAGACTGATTTTCCAACACACTGAAGTTCAGCTGGAAGTGTAGGAGCAGCGGTAATGGATAGGTGAAGTGACGTGAGTTGGAAGACAGAGGGAAAAAAAATGTGCGAGTGAGAAAGCCCGACGGAATCAGACTTATTGGTGTAGCGTGACTCGTCTCTGGTACATCTAAGGGTAAGTTATCACCGGGAACGAGAAACTCGCGTGGCGAACCGCCCTGTGGCCACCCTTGACACTCGCCGATATACCAGACAGACTTCAGGTTAAACTTCTCTTCATCTACTTGATGTTTTCCCCTCATCTCGCCCTAACCTTCTCCATCCACCTTTTTACAACATCCCGACTCATTCGCGGAACGTGTTTATTCAGCCAGATTATCATGGCATTCGTGATGCGAAGCAGATTGACGCAATGAAGAGAATCCACAAGGCGACATGTGGGGATAGATGAAATGATCTGCTTCGTTAAAGGGCTTAGAGAGGGGTCCTGAAACGAGAAATCCCTCCGGGCTAGATCTGGCATCATGATTGAGGAGGAATTATCGTGCAAATCTCGAGGTACGTGCTTGTCAGCTTATTATCAATATCCCAAAGTTATTATCCACTCTAAACTTCCACATATGCTTCAACCCAAAATCCAAATGGAGGGGAGCCATTTTCTTCTGTTTTTGTTTCTGTTTCGTTTCACCTCAATTGGGGGATGAAAGGGGATCGAGAAAACGTTGAAACGCTAGGTGAATTTTCAAGAGAGTGGAGAAATAGATGGGGTAGCAAGTGGCAGTAGTGGAAGTAGGAGATTCACTAGCGCGTCAGTCATTTGTCTGAGATTAGCTCTTCAATTGTTTTCGTGAACGGTCGTGGAATTAACATAAGCTTGGATGAAGGATGTAGTTTAGAGAAGATGTCTCTATAGAGTCTGGGAGTCATGATTATTCTCCGAGTCCTTACAGAATCACTAATGCCCCTCAACCTCCTTAGAATTCCGAACGTTAAATTATCAGCTACTCCTTGGAGATTTGATATTTCATTTGGTTCAGACTACAATGATGATGATCATCTACTCGGGTGATAATGCTGTTTTGGCTTTGTTGAGTGTACCCTGCACCAACTTGAAAGGCATAACTGATCTAATAATGTTAATTAAAATCCTGAAACCTCAATTAATATCGTTCTGTCTGTGCTTGTTGCCTGGCAAGTTGAAGCAAAACCCCTTGGCAAAGCTGCGTAGAGAAGGGACTGAAGGATAATAGATAGAATGAAAGAGGATACGTTTGTGAGAAGTCGGTGGTGGTGCGGACAAATAAAAGCCATTACTCAACCCCTCCTGAGGAGACCCCTCACACCATCAAAAGACATCTCCGTCTACCGAGAATACCTTCCTTGGAATCCTCTCCGAGACGACTTTTCCACAGTTTTCGGTTTGCGGAGGGAGACTCCGTGGTGAGGAAAAATAAGGGTCCGCCTTGAGACATCCATGACCTACCCTTACTACAAGATATTTCTTCGTTCACACCCTCTTATACCCTACTTTCCACCCTCGCACTTCCTTTTACGCTTCTCACCTCCTCCTCGAGGGCGGACGTACTGTCAACTCAACGACCAGAACTTTCCCTGAATTTTATGAATGAAAGTTTTCGTCGTCTGGGGGGGTTGTCTTTGTCTTGGTACACTCTAGTATGAATTCTTGAATGAATATTTGCACTCACCTCTGCCGCTCCTTCCGACGAACCTCAGATCATTGAACTTTGCCACTTGATTCTTCATTAGCGCTGTAGAATTTCTGAGCTCAGCGCAGCAATTCTCGTCATTACCCGCTCTGACAGTCACTAATGTGCCGTCACCAACTTCCCCCAGAGCTACCACTTTGAATGCCACCGGAAGGGTCTTGTTGGATCTCCAATGAGCGGGTAGTACAGTGCAGACTAAGTGCGGTGATCCTGAGGGGCAGAGAAAATCATTTGTCAAATGGTTTTTGTCCTCAGGCCAACGGTCTGGCATTGTTCTCAGCTGAAACCTAGCGCCATTACCTGTCTTAACAAGCTCGCCAGGATGCTCACTGACGAAATCACCGAGTGTTCTCTCCGTCAAGATGTCGGTTGTCATCTTGGTGTAAGCATCAGCGAGCGGTGAGACCCCGGACTCGGGTGAGGCCGCTGTCCCAGGAGCTGATGCTCCAGTCAATTGCATTCTGCCACCTGTTCCGTTACCCTCGATCGTTTCGCTTCCACTTCCAGTTGCTGAATCGGCGGCCGTAACCGCTCGAGCAGTACCACTATTTCCTGTTATTGCTCCAGCACTACCACCAGGCCCATTACAACGGCCGAATATATCCATAGGCAATCAGGGCATCTGGTTAGAGGGGCTCACGGAGTCTCAAGTTCATTGTAATCATCATTTAACGCTCTTCCGACGGCTGATTGATCCTATTCTTGCACCACTTGATTCAAATGTAAGCGATCTCAATCTACGGGAGTAATTTATTGGTGATCTTGTTACGGACGTCCAGAACTTTCATCTTCATTGGGATTGACATTATTAGCAGTTGCTTAGCGAACTGCAAATGAAAATGTCTCCGTGTTATTGACGACAATGACAGCTGTCATTGATAATCGCATCTTTCGGCTCGAATGAAAAAACAGGCCTGTCTCGAACAGCTAAGAACACTGAATTGCCGGACTGGCACTCGTCGCGTGACGTCAACATTCATTCACTAATTTTAGCATACGTCATCTGGCTCGTGACACGCGGCCGTTGGAATAAAGCGAATGAAAGCTCAGCGGCGAATAAAAAGCAAGTGAGTACGGTGGAAATAGGGGAAAAAAGTACCACGCGAGCGGTTGAAGGCTGGTGATGTGTTGGCAGAATGGAATAGGGGGGAAGGAGCGAACGATATTGAATGCATGAGGGTGAGTGAGAGGGTTGGAGTGATGCTGCCGTGGTGGGAGTGGAAAAAAATAGGGGAAAAGAACGTGGGGGTGTACGATCCAAACCCCCACACGGTCTACGCACGGAATACCGCGTGTCAAAGTGGCACGTGGTTGAGCTTTTCGGTATGAACACTTTGTTGCGGAAAGCTTAGCAAAAGGCGTTTGTTTTGTGTCTGGATTTTTATGGTGGTTTAAGACTTACATCTTAAGCACAATTTGCATCATTGAGGAGACTTCTGGGGGTGATGATGCTGGTGATGATGGTCAGATTGATGATGTTGAGACGCTTGACGCAGATAAGTCCAAATTTTTTCGCTGTAACATTTGTGAAATCTTTCTCCACTGTTGCGACGGTTGAGACTCTCACTGCTTAACTTCGCATTCAAATCTCTTTCTCGTCTTTCAGATATTCTCAACTTGGCGATATTCCTTACGAACGATCACAGCTTCTCAACAGCCCTTTCAGCATTCATCACAATCTGAATATCTTCCAATGATTGGATCTACATTCGTGTGAATATCAAGTCCCAGAAATTTACCCTGAAGTCTTAATTCCCGGTCGAACGAACTGTCAGTCACTTTTTTTGTCAACAATCATTCACTTGCGGACTCGTTTACTATAATTCCTACAGTCCGACGAACTTTAGTTTAAATCTGCAAGAACGTTTGTATTTCCATATCACGTCTCCTGTCGTTCATTGGCACTTGACCACACTCTAACACTCAACTAATTCTTCTGATACCTGTCCTGATCACAACACACAACAAGTTCCATTTTAAATCCATGCAGCGGACTCATCAGAACGATTAAACACCAGATGAAAGACCATCTCAAGGATGAAAAGATGATAATCGCTTATGCAAGTCGTCTTCTAGTAGCCGGTTGTATCGTAAGAGTGCCCGATGGGCCACTAACTATAATTTTGGGGCGGTACGTATGAGGCAACAGCCGTTGACGCACTGGTCCATGCCAACACACGCAGCATCCCCCTCTTAACCTATACCCATCTCTTCCATCCTCCTCCAACATCGTCCTGTCTCAACCCCACCACCACCACAGAACCGCACGCTGCTTTCCACCACCCTTTCGGCATCAGCCACCCGATTCCATCTCTCTTCATTCAACGTTCTTTCCTCTCGCTCTGGGCTTTCTATCTTTTACCACCTCACTTCAACCACACAGCTTCATCCACAGGCTTGGCCCCTATGCCTCTCTTCGTTTTACCAATTGGTCACTTTATCCTCCTCACACGCTCATCAGCTCTTGTCGTTTTGTCTTTCCGTAAAACTCCTCTCGTTCGAATCTCTCTCTCTCTCTCCTGTTCGTTCGCCCTCTTGCTTCCTCCTGCGGTGGGTCAGTTACTGACTCTATCCTTCTTTATCAAGGCTATTGTTCACTGTCTCTTTTGCTTGCCGTGTCCGTGTGCATTCGTACTGGTTCAGCTTTTTGTCCTTGTTAACTGGACATACCCCCTTGTTCTACCCTCTTCCGGCCTCGTATACTCTCTTTATATTCAAACCTTCAACCCCTCCCTCATTCTACCCTTCTGCGGGCGCGTGGCCCTAGGGATATTCTCGATCCTTCTCATTCGGTACTACCCTCGCGCAATTGATCGCGAAATCATTTTTCTCCGCTGACGGATTGAGTCCTGTGGCAGATATGCCGTACGATTCTTGAACAATTTCTGGAGAGCCCCGTCACATCGTTCAGCGAGACGATGTCGACTGGAGAACATCCTCTGAGGGAAAATATTTTTTAACATTCAAAGTCTTCATTAATAATTGATGGATTGAAGAATAAATCATCAGTGATGTCGTCGAGATTACACGATAAAATTTTTGAACAGATCATCACGGTCAGAAAAAACATCGAAAGTTTTGGAAGCGTTACGATATATCGGCGATAGAAAAACAGAAAAAAACGAAGAAGTCGAGACCCAGGGAAATTGAGTGCTCAAAAAATCGTGACGAGATGCACCGGTCGAATGTCTTTCGGAATTGCAACGATTCCAAAACTTTTAATGTTTTGTCAGACAGTGATGATCTATCCAAAAAATTTGTCGTGTTGTCACGGCATCATTATAAATCATCGCAAAAAATGTTCGTCATCTCATTCGGAGAATTTCTTCATCAAAATACCTTTCTACAAACTATTTCCACTCAGTTATCTATCAAATTAAAAACCGATTGCAGGGAAAAATCTACCCAGAGAGCAAACACAAACGGATAAAGTTTTTGCCAACGATCGAGTGAAAATCCAATAAAGATACAAATATACATTGTCCAACGGTATAGCTTGGTGCGGGGAAATCCGGCGTGACAAACAGCGAAACGTTGGAATCCTCCCGCGTATGTTCACCTACCGTTACTCTACCCATCGTCGTATTGACAAACGACCTAACGCTTCGTCCCCGCGTATGTGGACCCGTTTGTTTCCCCCTTCCTCTACACCCTGCCCCCTTGTCTACCTAACCACCCGGCCGCCCCCCCGGACCCCCTCTCCGGGATTCGACGAGATTCGAATTATCTCTGTTGGAACCTTGTCAATGCAAATGCCGTACCTACATTCAATTACTGCTCGTCACGCTTCGATCAACGCACCGTACCCACTTCTCCGGCTAAACCCCTTTCTAATGAACATTCGGTTTCTTAAATTTGGAGGTGATGTGGTAGTACTTACCGAGTGATTGAGGGGATTCCTCAGGGAATTTGGTCAGAGTCTGCGCGGTTGCTGGGCAATCATAGACTGAGGGAAAACGACAAAGTTCTCAAACTTGTGCCGAGAAAATAGGTTTTTGAAAATTATCAAAAAAGGATTTTTTTGGGCCGAACATGCAGAGAGTGCGCCGGAATGAAAAATTTTTGTCGCTAAAATAGATTTAGTAATTCAAAAAAATTGCATTCTCTGTACATGCAGGAAATGTCATTTCCAGAACTACTTCGTTATTCGATACTCCCATACGTATTTTGCTCCCGAATAATCTTTGTTTTATGCGAAACAAGGGATAGTAGTTTTTCGTTTCGGCTGTCTAATAATCGCAGACAAGAAATGAACCATTAAATGAAACAATAACAGTGATATGATAGCAATCTTGTAACTTGGGGATAAAATATTTGTTGATAAATTTTCCTCTGTATGAGATATTTTGATCCTGAAAAGGAACCGTCTGGTGTGAATTATCCGCCTCTTGAGCCAAATATTTCGTTGCCGTCGAAAGCAGAACAATTATTCATATTTGAGACTTTCAAATTCGAATCAAATAAATTTTTTTTTTGCAATTTTCAAGTAGCAATTTTGCTGGCCCAAACAGAACTTGTTTGACAACGTGATTGTTTTTCTCTCAGTGCAGATGGGAGCATGCTGATGGCCTGTCGAATGAAAGGAGTATTGATGAGGGGGATCGGTTGAAATCAATGGAAATATTTTTCGCTCAAATAACTTCGCATCGATGACTCCTGAAGGGAGCTAGGCAAAATTGAAAATTGAAAACCCCCGACGAAAAAGTTGTCAATTGACTTATTTAAAAAAACTGAAACTCCAAAAAACTGAAAATTCTTGAACGTTCAACATCTTTTATGAAGCTGGTGAGTTATTTCTACGTTCCGTTCCGTAAAATTTCTCACTCGTTGGGGAAAAATTACGGAACGACTTGTTCCCACAGCGGTGAGTCATCAGACTGGTTAATTTTTACGGAACAAATCGTAGAATTTACGTGGCGATTCGTACAATTTCACTTCCGACTCACTTTTCAATGAATTTTACTTCGCTCGCGGATTACGTTTCGCAACGTAATTTTTACGTTTTTTTTTCTGGTAATTTTTATTTAATTCTTCTCTCCGTGTGAATAATATTGAATCTCCACCGCTGAACAGCACACAGCACAGCCCAAACACAGCAGCATTTCAGAAATCAGTCCCCCGCCAAGAAGTTAACGCCCCCGCCGCAATCAGTTCGAAAAATCCGCGAAAAAAACTACTACCGTGCGTGCACGTAGCAGCCGAGCGTCACTGATAAGCCTCATTCAGAAAAATCGGTGTCAAAATTTCGCAGGCGACAAACGGTGGGAGCACAAGTGGGACGACTAAAAAAACAACTACCCCGGGTTTACCCGTACAATGCCGTTAAAAGTGGCAACAATAATGTACCGAGTGAAAGAGCCCACCGGTACTACGATTTTCACCCTCCCCCCCC